CTAATAGACATTACCAGTGTTTTAAGTCAGTCATTTGTCATTATAATAGTGCTCATTTTTCAGGGCATTATCACTAAAATACAATCGTTTTATAATATTTTTCTTTTGTGGTAAAGACACCACTAAGGGTTATAAGGATTATAAATACCAGTCTATACAATATTTATGTCAATAAGAATATTGGGCTGGATTTGAAACTTAATTCTAAGAGCTTTTGTAGGCCACTAATGACTGTTAAAAACATATGTAGTATTAACTGGGTAAGTAGTGTTCAGTCTGTTCAAGACAAACAAAAAACATTTTTATATAATTATCATAAATGACAGTATAATTTTGGAAATGATGCAAAGATACAGATGTGGTTTATGAAATTCAATAATACAAGTAGTTGGTTTACCTTGCTTAAATAACAGCAAACATAACTGAAATTTTAACAAGGTAAGAAATTTGTTCATTCAAATGATAATGTTCTTGTGTCTTAAATTATTTAATTGAGCAAGAAAACCCTCTTTGACAGTGTTTCTAGTGAGCTGGATTTATTATTTTAAGATAAATTAACTCTTGGATAAGTGAAACTCTACTCCCTTGTTCTTTCACTAGGTTTATTCAGCATATAGTTCATTTAAAAATAAAATTTAGATAACCTTAGTATTGTTGCTTTTGATATTATAATAAATTATAATATTTTTCCAGTATATATTCATATGCCTACAGCCACAGAAAGCATGGACTGCTGTCGGTTTTGGACACTGTTTCGGTCTATCTTAGTATAGTGGTGTTAATGTTTATTTTTTGGCAGGCTCAAGGAGGTATGATCAATTAAGGTTAGTCTATCATGTATTTAAAGTCTTTGAAATATTACCGTAAAAAACTGTAAGCTAGTTGTTACTTTGGTGTAATTCGAACATATTACTTCCAGGAAAATGTCAAACCTGTAGGAAAATATTTTTTGGCAAAATTTGTTTATAGCTAAGTCTGATGTGCACTAATAACAATTGGTTTCATTGGCGTTTTTGCGGGTAAACATATACCACCCACTAAAATTGCCAATATTTTGAATTCAAGCCAAATCTGTGTCATATTTGGTACAATTTTGCTGTAATTCAATCGCTAATGAAATAAATTTTTATCCCCGTAACAGCAGAAGATGGCCAGGTTTGTCATTCAATTGACAACACTATTACCTGTTGTTCGGAAATTCAAGATAAAAACAAACTGTTTGAAATTCCTTTATTCAAATCTCACGATATCCTAAATAAAAAGTTCTATTCATTCACAATGTATGAGTCATGTCATGAAATTTGATTTCTTTTCCTCTTAAATTTTAAAAATTGTTTTATACTTTTTTTGTCTTTTTCTCTTATAGGAAAAATAAAATCGACAATTTACAATAGTCTTCTAAGAATATATATCATAGTACATAAATTAAGTTGCATAGCTGGAAGATGTTCTCTCCTCATGCTATCTAAGAAATTGAACCCTGTATTTGGCTGCAAGGATCACGTTAAGTTAGAATCCTCCTTTAACAAGGAGAAAGTACTACTTTGGAAAAAAGAAAGACACACACGGCAAAACTAGTTCTAACCTCTGCAATAATATAAATAAGAAAGGTTTAAATATTTACATATTGGACTTAGACCTCACTGTATAATCCCGTAGCGTCGCCCTAGCCCTCGAATTTCAATTATTTTACAGCGAAGGTCAGCAACCTCTTTTGCCGTGAACTCCTATATGTTTTCCTAACATTCTATTACGCTTCTTATTTCGCTTACTTCTAGAATTGTTTTGAAAATGAACCATGTTCTGTTTTTTTAAGTTCTTTCTGTTCGGTCGAATGCTTCCCTGTTTCGGCGGTTCGGTTTGCCTCCTCTTCTCAATCATTTCGAGCTGCGCTTGAAATTGGACGGTTCGCCGCGGCTCTCGTCTTTCTACCTCGCCTCGTTCCTCGGTCCTCTGGGCGCTTGAGCTTCTGGAAGCCGAGGAAACAGAAGGAGACGGCTGCCTAACACCTGCCCCGTACACAGACATACTCGGATGCTCTATCAACAAATCTTCCATCGGGCTCGACTCCAAAGCTTCGGGGGAAAGCCCGCTCGCTTCAAAACACGGCGGTGGGGTAACATACCAGCTTTCTTCCAACTCAATTTGGCACTTAAGCTTCGAAGCCTCCTTTCCATCCCCTGCTAAAAGAAATATATTAACTCAACGATTCTGTAAGATAAGAAAAGTATTTGGCGCAAATTACAAAATATTATGTAACTGTGGCGCAACCCAGATAGTATGCACTTAGTTCGTGACGAAATACGTGCACATCGATCGATTTCCCAAATTAATTTTTATGTACCAAAGGAAAAATTGCTCTAGCTGGGGCCTTGCACTTCCTGCTGGAGAAATTCGATTACATATTTGCAAAAGTTAGCACTGAAAACAGGAAGCTTTTTTACCGCTAATTTTCTTTTCCAGAAGGTCCACCAAAATCCAGTCGTCATCGCTTTGGGTGTCGTCTACAGAACAACCTGGGACAATTTGTTCATCTGCTTCGCCCCAAATGTAGCTCGAAATTGTCGTCCACATTTTGAAAAATTCTTTTTAGACCAGTAATATTCAACGGACTTGAAGTAATGCTGCTTTTGCTGTAAAAAAAACAGAAAAAAATAAATAAATAAATTAGATATGTGAAAGAAGCGAACCATTTGGCAGCATAGAAAATACACCTAACACCACAACATTTGCTGCCTCTCTTTCTCATCTGAGAAATCCTATTTTTATATTAACTCACCTTTTCTGTTAACCTTAGAATGAAGTTTTAGCCCGCCAAAATTCGTTAGTATTGCTAGCTCTTGAAAATTCCGGTTGCCGCCAAGAAATTTTAAGACAGGCTCGCTTATCGTTTTCTGAAGAATATGTTTAAACCTTTGGGGAAAATAAAAGCTTGATACACTGTAATGTGCGCTGATTGAAGACAGACTTGCTAGGGACAGCCTTTCAGTTCCTTTAGCGGATAAAACAGCAAAACAGCGTTGGCAAACACAGAGCTTGGCCGAAGCGGAGAAAATTATCGTTTGGGAAAACTCAATGTTTTTGTTGACATTCTGTCAGGGTGGTGACGTTACCAATCAAATTCAAGCCTATTGTCTATCCGCCATATATGGAAAACGACGCAACAACCGAGCACGTGATCTTCCCGTGCACTGTGACCTGTCCCGGGTTCTTGGAGCTCCAAAAATGCGATCAAGCAGTTATCAGCGGTGATTACAGCGATCTGTTTCAAGTTTTTCTATTGTATTTTGTTTTCTTATGCTACATATCTTATTTTCTGTCTGTTAAGTCAAAGGACCGAAATGTCCACGGGATTCTAAAAGAGCGGAAACATGTGATTTCCCCCTTTGTTCAGAGTCCTCAAGGCAGTCAAAGGTAAGACTTCATTCATTCCTTTCGCTATAAAGTTTAAACTCAAGGGTATTATTTAAGCTTATTACTTGAAAGTCCATTAATTTTTTATTGAAGAGAACAAAATCTAGGTGGGATCAATTATGTTCAAGTCCAAAGGTCATCAGTTTTTTTGCATGATCTTTTATGCATATTAGTTTGCGTGCGCGTGGCAGGCCAGCGATGAAACATAATCAGTCTCCAATTTCAAAATAAAGTAAACTAAAATGTGAAAATACTTCCCTAACTAACAGGGCAAACTGTTTTTGACAAGTTTGCGTCTCGTGATAAACTCGTGAAAATTCATCAACACAATCTAGTATTCGTTTCATAAGAGCAAACTTTTAATAATCTTTGCTAATGACAACCTTAGGCCTTTGAGGCACTTTTTATATGAGGTTTGGGACTGAATTCGTCTGGAGATTGGAGGCTAATTGCCAAATATTTTAATTGGCGGTGAGTAGTCTGTAGAGAGTAAGTTAGTTTAATATCATAATCTTGTATGGATTTGTCTTGAAAGCATAGTAAAATCAACAGCAAAAAGAATTGGACAGTGATTATTGAATTGCAAAAATTTAGGTTTAGACCCCTTTGATTTGTTTTGAAAACATAGTAAAAATCAGCGAGTATCTTGTTTTTATTGTCCAGGCGGTTCTGGATTCACAGCGTATTCAAAAGTTTCCACTCTGGAGAGTAGATTTAAAAAGTTGCAAATTTGTCTGCCAGATTCATCAGATATATGTGGTTGGAAGCCAAATCTGCAGAGAAAAAGTTGAGGATTAAAAAACATCTGGAAACGTGTGGACTGGGCCTAAGATTTTTACTTTCAAGTGGAATCTTTACAGACACCCCTTTTGCTTTCAACTGTCAGTTGAAAGCTAAAGGCTGTTCAAGCTCTAGTTCTTTTCAAATAATTCCTTAGTAGAAAGTCCATCTGGTTCTTTTTAAAAAATTAGTTACTTTAAATGACCTTATACAGGGGCACCCAACGAGAATATAGTTCAAAACCACTTAAACATAGAATTGTTAAACGTATTTTAGTATTTAAACGGTAGATATAGGCATATTTTAATCCCCTCTGTTCGGATTTCAAATAAACGTGATCCTTATAGGGATCAAAACTTATTTTGAAAATTTCAGCCAAAAAAGGCCCCTCTTCTATGACCTTTTAGGGTAAAAATCCGTTAAAAATAGGCAATTATACTATTTTTCAGATGTTCGAAAGTCCTAGGAGAGGCAGGCAAGCAAGAAATTTTCTGTTCAAAATTCTAGATCTCAAATCGCAGATATTTTTCCCTGCTTATAGACACCCACTCCCAAATAAACGCCTCGTATCTGGTAAATGCCCCCTCTATGCTGTTAAAATAATATTAGACACGTCTCTCAAATTAACACCCTCTGTGTAATAGCTGCCCCCAATGAGAATTTAAATGCGAATCATTCAATTATGGTATGTTAAACTATTTATGCTGTTTTTAATTTGCTTGCCTCAAAATTTGAAACCACAGAACTTCATGGATGCCACAATTCTTTTGTTTCTATTATTTTTTGACAGTTTTAGTTGGAAAGGATCAATGCTTGCACACAGATAGGTTGGTGAGTGCCTTTTAAGATTTTCAGTCATTTAATTGTGCAACTGAAGTAATTATGTAAAGAAAAATTAGCTTTTAGTATAATTTGTCAACTTTTGTTTTTGCATTTGTAACCACATACATGTACCTTCAACTCATAAGCAACCACCCTAGGTGGGGGCACCCAGCCACGGTTTCCTCCTACATACACTGAAAACACTTTTCAGGCTATCCTAAGTACTTTTTAGATCTCTAGAATGCATTCTAAGCAGTACTATAAAATTTGCATCTGTTCAGTCATCCTAGGGGAACTTGATTCTTTTTGAAGTTACAAGGCCTTCAATATTATTTTCCTGAAAATTTTAGATGCAATTTATTCTATTACGAAAGTGGGGATTTTTCTGATTCCTCTCTCCATCACACTTTTCAATCAAAAAATTTTAGGTTTCTTTTTTTCTGGGGGGTGAGATGTGAAAAATTGAACTTCAGAAAATCGAAGGGAATTTATTAGATGAGCTTCGAAAATAGTACATGAGTAGAACGGTCATCTAGAAATTTTTAACAGCCCTCAAGTAATACTATAGAAAATTCTAGGCAATATTTGCTTCTCCGAACAGATATTTTACAGAAAACAGTCATTGGGTGTCCCTGACAGTGGTCGCTTACGGGAGGTGGTCATGTACGGGAAAAATTAAGAAAGTAAGCTCAAACTGAGCTGATTAACATAATTACATAACGTTATTACCTTATAAGCTAAAATTAGGTTCACTGTTGAAACTTTGTACATTTTGCATCAATTTAACAATTCACTTTTTTCCCTACAAACAGTAATTGTAAAGTTGTTTTGAATGGTAATTGAAGCAAAATTTTGTAGACTTAAGTTTGGAAAGGGTTGATATTCTGTCTTGGAATAGTTAGTATTTACTGGAATCATTAGCTTTTGTATGATATAAGGAAAAATGCAGCTCAAGAAGGGTGTTATTTGATGAGACCAAGCCAAGGTTTTGATAGTGTGACCCTTTCAGCATCTGGAATGGATTTTTACCTACAATATTTCTACCTCCTCTTTTGCCAAAGGAAAGGAAGTAAAAGATCAATAAATTATGCAATGCACAGTGTATCTATTGCACTTTTATGGTAAGGTATCAGCAAATTGATGGTTCAAAATAGCGGTGAGACAATTTGTTGAGACCTCAGAAAAGGTGACTGTGACCACTAAAATAATACAGGTCAGGGAAATGATTCACTGGACGTAAGAAAAACATAATTGATCACTAATAATAGAGGTTGACCGCTTAATACAGGTTTCCTTAATATAGGTTTGACTGATGGTATACTATAGCTATAAGTTAGCTAGAAGTAATGTTTTGGTACACAGGCTACCCAAGCTCTCAACTCATGGGGATAGTGTGTTATGTTTTTAAGTTATTTTTCTATGTGACAATCTTATTCCTACATTGACATACTGAGTTAGCATGTACACGCACACTGAATGTTGCAGTTTTTTCCTTTCTCCTAGATTCCAAATGATTTGATGCCCTCGACAGCCATCAGTAATTTCCCCTGTCAGTCAGGAATCTAGGGCTCCTAAGTCCTCTTAAGCTCAGTAACACTGCGATTCCATGTTCCAAGCCCATTGCAACCAAAAAATGCACTAAGGCGTACCAAGGATTTGGTGACTCTTCCTCGATCAGTTTTTTGGTTGAGTAAAGAGATTGACAGATAAAGCTTATCTACCCACCTAGCTGGCTTACAGAGATTAAACACTTTTTGCTCTGATTTTACAATCTTTTATGCAATTTTAAATTATTACATTACCCCCTCCCCCTCCCTCTGGAAAGTGCACCTCTGGCACATATGTTTGCGTTACTGACCGTGAATGGTCCCCTACCTGCTAACCTAAATTTCAGGGAGAGCACTTTGATATCATGGCCTTAAAGAGTTCTCGTAAAACACGAGTGCACTTATATCAATATCTGGACTAGTCTACACACACTTTCCCTATAATGGACTGAGGTAATGAATTTCTCTAAATATCTTCTCTCCTCACAGATAAGTCTGACTGGTTTTTGCTTGTCTTTTTCAGATTTCATTGATCTGCTAAGAAGCATCAATTGAAGTTACAAAATTTGTTTAAATAATAGAAGTAGTGAAAGTTTATCTTGCAGACACTAAATATATCTACCAATCGTGTTATTTTCAAGACGTCTTTAAAGCTTGCATTAGATATCTGGAAAGTGAGAAAATTTTTAATGAGTAAGGTTACTAAGTATTTTGTAGTGATGGTAAAAATCTCCAATGATTTTGGTAGTTGTAATAAATCATCATTATCATCAACTTCATCATTCAGCCCTTTCGGTTGGGATGCTCTGAAATATGATCTTATTCCACGCATTCCTGTCCGTTATCGTGTTCGCAAGATCCTCCCTGTCAATTCCGGAACCCGCTCGAGATCATTTTCCTTGAATGAACAAGGCCACTTGGTTTCCATAGAAAAATAGACTGAATGATCTCACCCTTTGCTCGTTAGCAATGACCGATAAAGAATAAAGATCGAGCAATACCAAAAACTGTTTTAAGTCAATTCAACTGCTAGTTTTCCAATTTACTGCCGTTTTTATCGGTTCTTTTTGTGTCGTTTTGAACTAATTTTATTTAATATGAGTGAATTTGTTTTAAAATGGCACATTTTCCATATTGTAAATTTAAGACTCTTTTCAATAAATTTGTCTTTTTTTGCAAATTCACAACAGTTGCTATACTTTTAGATAAGAGTGTAAACTTTTTGATCAATCAATTTATTCGTTTTTTTTCTCACTTACACTGCGTCATGACGTCCAATGTGTGTATGTTGCAGTTTTCCAATAAATGAATTGTTTTTACCTAAACCTACTTGTTTTGTCTTTTCTTTAATTGCATAGCTTACTGAAACGTCGGACAAAACCCTTGAAAAGCCAACGGCACTCTCGTCCCCAGAGCTCGTCATTTCTTGGTCACGTGGTCGGGACGGTTACAAATTAAGCCGAATGGCTCTGGGGACGAGAATGAGCCACCGGGTGTAATCCTAAGTGTAATCCTGGACTGGTGTTGCTCACTGTTACCCAAAACAACATAGAGAGGGGAGAAGAAAATGGTCATTTATTTAGCGACGGTTTGCATTTTTGTCTGGATACAGGAAAACGAATGAAAATGTTATTTTCGTTATACAGTCCAACCTTCCGTAAGCGCAACCTCGTCCCCAGGGCTTTTCCCTCAAAAAATGGGTGGGGCGCTGTCACAGTGATATGGGCATCCCCGCGTTTTGGGCATCCCCATTCCCATATCCCTAGCGTTTTGGGCATCCCCAAAACGCTGATCGCTTCCACGTTGCCTAAATTATTTCAGACTAGGGAAAAGTCGGGGTTGTCAATCACGAATTTTCTGCTGAATAGTGTAAATGCATTTTAGAATTATATCGTCTGACACTTTTCGCCGGGTTGATTGCACAGAAAAAAAACCCATAGGCAGTCAAGGTTGGCTCTGACACAGCGTTTTGGGCATCCCCGCGTTTTGGGCATCCCCATTCCCAAATCCCTAGCGTTTTGGGCATCCCCGGTGGGGGATGCCCAAAACGCTGATCGCTTCAACTTTGCCTAAATTATTTCAGACTGGGGAAAAGTCGGGATTGTCAATCACGAATTTACGGCTGAATAGTGTAGATGCATGTTAGAATTATATCGTCTGACACTTTTCGCCGGGTTGATTGCGCAGAAAAAAAACCCATAGGCAGTAAACGTTGGCTCAAAACGGGACGAAACTGTACAACCGCATAACATCCCTTCGCTGTACAACGGTTCATTGTTTGCAAAGCTTCAATTTTAGTTAATAGAACTGTTTACCAGCGAGAAATGCCGCAATCGCCGGCAGCTGCGATCGTCTGATTCCAAACAGCCAAAAACAAGAATACTAAACAAAACAATCAAAAGACAAACATGAATAAAACTGCGTTTTGCGGTGTTGAATTCATAGTATGCTTGACATTTGAGGCCTGTACAACTTAACCCCGCAGCGCTACTTGACACACAAAAGGCTGTCACGCAATTTATACAGAGGCGTCTTGCACCTACGGGACAGAAGAAATCTGTTGCCGTTTTGAGATGTAGTACGGGCTTCTATTAAATCAATTCCGACCGAGTTCCACACCCTGGGAACAACCTTCACAAGGTGCAAAAGTATTATCGCGGCCGGCGAGTCCAGAAAAAGGAGCAGAGTGGCACTCTTCGAAGACCCTCGCTTTCTCTTCCTCGGTGAACAATTCATCGAAGCGCTTTGCCATCCTTCTCCTTGGCCACCTAGAACAAGGACTCTAATTTTGAGTCATACTCGAACTTTTTGGCAAATTTTGCAGAGTCGTTTTTTTGCTTTGTAAAGCCTTCCGGATAAGCCTTCTTTTTAAGATACTGGAAAAGATTTCTATATTTAGCGGAAGCCATCTCTAAAACGTTTTCGATTTTCCCGCGAAATCCAGCATTTCTTTGGAGGGGATGACCAAAACACTAGCGATTTGGGCATCCTGGGAGGGTACCGGGGGATGCCCAAAACGCTGCAGTAATATGAGAAGGGGATGCCCAAAACGCTAGGGATTTGGGAATGGGGATGCCCAAAACGCGGGGATGCCCAAAACGCTGTGAGAGCGCCCCACCCATTTTTTGAGGGAAAAGCCCTGGGGACGAGGTTGCCGTAAGCGACCACCCAAAATTCAAAGACTGGTCGCTTAATACGGGAGGTGGTCGTCGTTTACAAGAATCGAACTGGGGGACGCAACATTGATTGATGTTACATGTTGCGTCCGTTTGCACATCCTGTTGCATGTTGTTGCGTGTTGTGGGGAGTTGTTGAAACCGGTCAAACTTTTAGCCCCGTGCTAAAGGACGCAATATTGTTGGCCAGCAACTCCCAACATTGTTATATGCATGTCATGTCAATAGACACAACAGGCGCACAACAGGAGATAACGGGGA